AACCATCGAGCACCTAAAATATTCTTTGCATGGGCTGGACCCTATATGTCACTATGAATTAAAGAAAATGGAGAAGAATCATGGTGAGCTCTAGAAGGATAATGAACACGAGTATGCTTGGCTAGTTGACAAATATCATAACAAAACAAACTAGGGCTTTTATTAATAAATAAGTTTGGTTGCAATTTCTGAAGATAGGTAAAATTTGGATGGCCTAGCCTACGGTGCCACAACATAACATCATTACATGAATCAAAAGGAAACATAAAGTCATTTTTCACACAAGCAGATTCATGAGTCACCCCATCCTTAAAGTAGTAAAGTCCGTCATCCTCTCTAGCACTGCCAATCATCCTCTCCGAGTCCTGTTCTTGAAAAATACAACCATAAGGAAAGAATTTAGCAAAACAACATAACTCAGAAGCTAGCTTGCTAAGGGAAATGAGATTGCATGCCAAAGAAGGAACATGAAGAACTGATGTTGAATTAATCTGCTCGGAAAGCTTAATGGTTCCGTGTCCTGCAATCTGGGAGAAACTGCCATCGACGATCTTGACCCGAGAGGGTTGAGAGAGCATGGAGTGTAAGAGCAAAACAAGGTCGGATTACCTCTCATATGGTCAGAGGCTCCATAATCAAGGATCCAACGAGTTTGATTATCAACATGGAAGGTTGTACCTTGCTGGGTCACATTGCTAGTGGCCTTAGGAGATTGAGTCAGAAGCCTCTGAAGTTGCTCGAATTGAGTTTTGCTGAGAAACACATTATCAGAGTCAGCGGAGGCACGAGGCTCATCAACCCTGTCATCAGTAGAGACCTAATATGCACGACCTTTATTCTGCCCTTTTGGCTTCCAATTTGCAGGTTTCCCGTGGATCTCCCAACACCTCTCACGGGTATGACCAACTTTATTGCAGTGGGTGCACCACAGACGACCATCCTGTTTCAATTCCCTAGAAGAACAATTAATAGTATGTTTGGTGACCAATGCACACATATCAACAAACTTATCAGTTGATTCTTTTTCTCCCAGCATAACTTTCTGTCTACTAGCTTCTCTCCAAACCTCATCAAAGGCATCAACAAGTGAGGGTAACGGTCACTGACCCAATATTCGACCATAAACCTCATCAAGATCGTGGTTGAGGCCAGCAAGAAATTCATAAAGTCGTTCCTTTTCTAAGTGTTTTTTAAACTGGGCATTAGCTTCCAATCCTTTGAGGTCGAATGCATAATGAAGATCCAATTCCTGCCACAAATTTGCTAATGCAGTGAAATATTCAGTAATGGTCATACCTGCTTTATGTAGGTCCTTTAATTTATTTTTTAGTTCAAAGACTTAAGAGGTATTTTCCAGATCACAATAATTTTGTTGAACAACATCCCAAATCTCCTTGGCAGTATCGAGAAACAAATAGGTTCGGCTGATCTGGGGTTCCATGGAATTGGTCAGCTACGCCATTACCAGGGAGTTATTTATCTCCCAATTTTCATAGTCAAGAGCATTTTCGGCAGGTTTTTTAATCTTCCCGTCAAGATAACCCATCGTACCCTTTGCCCGGATGACCAACTTAACAGATTGAACTATTGCAGGAAATTCTTACCGTTTAACCGATGACTAGTGATTTTCATGCTTAAGTTGTCTCCAGAGGACTGAGTATTGGGGGCAGATGAAGAAGCGGAAGAACGATCCGAAGAAGCCATGAATGAAGAGATATGGAAGAACAAATTCGATGAACAGTAATTCCGGCGATGAGCAGTGTTTCTAGTGGCGGCAAACAGTACTCCAGCGATGAACAACGTTTCTAGCGACGATGAACAATAACTCTGGCAGCGGTGAACAGTGTTTCCGGTGGCGGTGAACAGTGTTCCTAGCCTTGAGGATAGCTGATCTAGGGGTGGATTGAACCCGCTATTGATACCATATTGAAAGATGTAGAAAATAATTTATTGTATTGATACACTAGGTTTACACTAATAGGAGGTATTTATACAAGTGAAAAATGAAAAAATAGATAAGAATGACTCAACAATGAGTCGTCAGTCCTATCCTATCATGACTCAGCAAATTCAAAAATTCAAAAATCCTAATTTCCTACAATAACTTTATATTTAATCACAAAGAAAACTGACATACTTGAATGCACAAATACTAAAAGGCAGACCTTTCTATTTCACTAGTGTATGATGAACCCGGTTATGCAATGGAATTTCTAGGATTGAGAAGCAGTATCAACAAACAATGAGCATGTTTGGTTCAGCTAAATAATGGGTCCCGCTAATTTTAAATTGTCAGCCTCACTTGTTTTGTTTCTCTCTTTCCCACTGATTTGCTACAGTGACTGTAGCAGGGTTGAGCCCCAATAATCTAATGGCTAATTGGTTCTTTGTAATTTCCTTTTATTATTTCAAGTGACCCATAAAGCTGTACATGGAGCCTTTGGTTAAGTGCACAACTTGCATGCCATTGGAATTTTTGTTTGAGAAAGTGCTTGGAGTTGAAAAGGTAAATGATAGAACAGACCATAAAAATGGAAAAAGAAAAAGAAAACAAATCTGATGTTGATGAAGTTGATCAGAAAATGTCATTTACTTTGACTTGGTTACAGAATGTTGAATCATACATAGCACTAGCACAAAAGTGAGTAAGCCAATCTAGTCATCATTGCAATTCATGCAAGTCCCTAGATGTTTATTTCCCAGGTGTTTTGTGGGGATCAAGATTTGACAGCACAATTGGGTCAGAGAATCTTTGTTTCCATTTCAATTAAGTAGTTCCCTTCATAGCAGTATAGTTTATGTAAATATGGAAGGATGATTTCTAATTTCTATTATCTTCAAGTATAGTTGTTTGTTGTTTGGTGATGAAATAAGATAGTAACTAAAAGGAACAGTGTGAGAAATTTGATCCAAAGGAGCTTTTCAGTGTGAGTGTGGTTCTGGGAGTTCAAAGGAATATAGATCTTACATTGGTATCATCTATTGTTGCAACTAGCTTGACGTTGTATGTGTAAGAAGTATACGAGAATGGTATATGACTTGCTGTTACACTATGGAGTAGCTCATTATTTTTGGTGCATGGCTATGTCTCCATTTAGAATGCAATAGGAAAGAACTTGGAGAAATAATTCTGGTTGGTTTAGAAACAAGCGCGCTGCAGAATTCCTTTAATTAGATTGCTGTTTGCTAGTGTTCTTTTAGTGCTGCAATAATTTTCTGGGTTTTTCAAATTTTTTTTTTTTTTTTGGTACATGTTATTGTTCTTTATGCGTAGACTTTCTCTCTAGTTTATCCATAGTCTTGATGGTCATCAATGCCTTTTAGTCATAACTTTATGATATTCTACCTGCTATTTATGTTGTCTTATAGACCTTGTTTAGGTTGTTGATTAATGAATACCCAAAGGGCTTGAGCAAACAGTAATTAACCCTAACATTGTATATTCAATACTACACTTCCCTCAAATGCACCAACATTTGTGCCTTAGAAAAAGTTATAAACTATAAACTTATGGACAACCATGCTATAGGATCATATTAAGACGCCAAATGTTATGTGGTAGGGTTGACTATACTGCACATAAACTGTTGTAATGTTTAACTTTTTGCAATTGCACATATTCAACTCATTATCACGCACATATGCCTAACAGGAAAGACATTTGCTTAAGAAGACCGAAAAGAAAAGGAAGGTAACCAGTAACAGAGAGAAACTGGTTTCCTTAAGGAGATTCAAAATATAAATTAGGCATGCTTACAATCAAACTTTTGAAAGAGTAATAAGAAAGCCTGAATAGTGCATAAACTCATAACAAAGGCCCATTTGGTTCATAAACCCTCATAAAACAAACATATAATTCCTATCAACATATAGCAGAATATGCATCTGCTTGAAACTTCTATTTTCCATCATGATTGTAGTTGTTACTTGGTATAGCGCTTTCTGATTCATTATATTTACCACAAGATATATTGATATATTTTATTTTACGTGTTAACTCCCATTTAGAGATATTGTGATTATAAGAATGACTTTTCATTTAGATTCTTATGCTTTTGGGAGCAGTTCAGATGTTTAATACTAATAATTGGTACGTGCCAATTTAATTCTAGAAAAACAACTGTCAGACAAGACTAAACTGCAGTAAATGGCATTGATAATGGCTTTTGGTTGTCTTTTATATTTGATCTTGTTTTTAGATCTGTTCTATGGATGATTCTCAGTACTTTAGTGTGCTATATTGAAACTAGTACAGTGCTTGAGTGAAGTATGACTACTAGCATTTTAGATGGATGGTTGTTGTAATTATATAATCACTAGCGTCCCTGTCAATCTGCTTTTTTATTTTTCATTCATATAGTTATAAATATTTCATATTGTTATAATAAATGAAAAGAAAATATTTAAAATATTTTTAATTTTTTAAAAAAAGAGAGGGAACAACTTTCAATCAAATAAGGAGCAGTTTTCTATCACCTAAATGCCATAATTATTTTAATGGTAAATAGTACATGTAAACAAATATGGCAAAATGTGTTAAAAATTGTGACTAAACTGAGCAGTTAAAGGGGCAATCCCCTTTATTAAGTAGTATAAATAATATTTTTAATTAATTTCTGTCTAAAATGGAAACCTGAAATACGTGCTTTTCTTTTCTTGGCTCTCTTCATCTATGGATTTTCTTCTGACATAGTTTGGTTTTCCGTAACAGGTCACATAAACATGCAGTTTCTAAATAATTGTCTTGGGCATACAGATTCTTACTGTAATGTCCTCTGAGTTAGGTCTCATTTGTTTGCATTCTACAAATGCCTAATTCATTTCTGCTTTGCTTTACTTCAGGTCCTTAACGACAATATTTATCATTCTTTTTCTTTGGTGGTTTGAATTGTGTTATTTAGTTTTTGTCCTTAGAAGACCATGTTAATAGATTTTGATTGAATTTTTTTGACTCATACACATTGTGCTTTTGCTGAATATATCGTGTTTTGGTCATGCAGTAAATCAGAATATGTTATATACAAGCTCAAGGAGATGGGAAAAGTAACTGAGAAGGATATCATGCAGATTAGTGAGAAGTTTGATAGACTAGATTCCGGCAACTGCGGAAAAATAACACTTGCTGATCTCATGGAGGGTCGGTAATTGGTGAGAGTTCAGTATGGCCATTCAAGCAGCAAAGGAGTTCTATTTCTGCAGTGTTGTCAACTAAAGAAGGGAGTGTCAGATTCTCAAGTTGCATGCTGGCAAGTCATGGACCACAGTTGATGGGAACTTTCTTCTTTTGGGGTTGAGATGGATATCAGATTCTCAAGTTGCATGCTGGTGATTTTGCCCCTACCCTTTTGTCATGATCATTAACTCAACGAGGCATGTTGAACGTGAATTTCTAGTTCTTTTGCCTGAATTTCGCAAATTAATTAGAGGATGGTAAGAACTGATCTTGCTGAAATTCTGGTATTACCAATCACATTATTGTCAGGTTGATGAGATGGCCTATGGTAAAGAAGGGGAAAATTTTGATTGGTTGAAGAAATATTTTGTACATATTCTTCTTGAAAATGATCTGCATTGATTCCTTACCATTTTCTTTCTGCTTAGGTTCCCTGAGTTAGACTGTCTCTCAGTTTAATAGTAGAGATCAATGTAGAACATCTTGGCGATTTTCGTGCATAGTTTCTGCCAACATGATTCCATTAGCTTAGGTTGTAATTAAAAAAAAAATGCTTCTTAATTTAAGTGCCCGTATAATCTATATAAAAATTTGTTACATTCACATATTTCTATGTCATTGTATAACTCTTCCAGTTGTAATTGTTTTTGAATGTTTTAGACTGTACAGTGATTTAAATTAAAGAGCATTATGGTCTTAATCTACTAAAATTTAAAGATAAATATGTTTTTACTTGCTTAGAGATAATTTTACTTTAAAGAAATTATTTTTGTTCACCTAGTATAGCATGGTTTCTGCAATTTTGATTTTCCTTTTGGGTTTGTGGTTGGATATTAGCATGTGTTTCCTTTTTCATTACCATTATCAGTTCCACTTATTTTATTTTATTTTATTATTTTATTATTTTATTTGTTGTTATTGCATTTTTACTAAGGCTTTAATGTTTTTAAAGTGAAGGTAGATAAGTTATCTACATTCGCTCTCAAAACGACGTCGTTTTGAGTTGAAAAAGTAAAAAATTATAATGAAAAAGACTATTATAATCTTAAAATAAATTATAATTACAAAAATACCTTGATTTCTGTCTCAAAATATCATTTTGGGCTCAATGTAGATAAGTTATCTACGTTGACCGTAGAAAAAGCGAACTCTTTTACTAAACTAGCAAACTGTTTCCTTCATGAAGGTTTTTACCTTACTTCAAACTGCAATTTGTTCCCATTCTGAATGAAGATACTTATGCTAATTTATCCTCATGGTTGGGAAATAGAGGCAATTGGTCAGGGGGTAAAAACAATAATAAAAGCTCAGTATGATAGCAGAAGTTTATCGGATTTTCATAATAAATTTGTAATGATATTGAAAGTTCTGGAACTTCGAGTAAATTGAATAAATTCATGAACTTGGCCCAGAGAAAAAGACCTGATGTTGCAGTCCGGAAATTTGTTTTTTAAACTGCGTTACTACTTTTGTTTTGCCAAAAATTCAGAATCCCAAAAATGACTATTTCTACAATCTCTTAATAGGGTAACCATACCTCTAGTGAATGTAATGCAAACTTTGGTTACTCAATCATACGATGATTACAAACATACATCCGCTGTTGTTACGATTCAGCATGAGACTGTTGTAAATGACATAAACCGCAATGCAAAGTGTAAACAATGTCTATGCAAAAAATGTCTCAAGATTTTATCTTGTCCTAGAGAAAATTATGGTCTCGAAATCTGCATGGGGAAGTCATCATTTGTCCAAACTGTTAAAAGTAAAAAGTTTATGAACTAAAGAATTATCATCTAATTATGCCCCTCTTTTATCGTCATTGACCAACTGTATTGCACGCTGCAACATGCATTATTGGGTTGACAAGGAGAGACATTCATAGGCATATAAGCCAGTACGCTTGTGGCGATTCCCTAAGGCTTAGACTGCTAAACTAGCCGGGTGAACGAGTGCATTTGCTGAAAAGCCTGACATCTTTGACGAGCAAATATATAGTGGTCCCGGCTCATGTGGGTCGTCCAGAGAAAAAAAGGAGGAAAGAAGAGAGAGAGAAAAAGACCATTGTTAGAAAATAATATAAAGTATTAAAAAGATCTTTATATAACTGTTTAAGATTTTGGATTGAATTAGTTCTTAACATGGTATTAGAGCTTGACGAGCAAATATATAGTGGTCCCGGCTCACGTGGGCCGTCCAGAGAAAAAAGGGAGGAAAGAGGAGAGAGAGAAAAAGACAATTGTTAGAAAATAATATAAAGTATTAAAAATTATATAACTGTTTAAGATTTTGGATTGAATTAGTTCTTAACATGGTATTAGAGCTTCAGGGATCACGAGATTATAAGTTCGATTCTCACCGCCCCCTACTTTCAGGTGGAATTAAGAAAAGCACAAGGATCACATAACACCTTAAGATTTTGGGTTGAATTGGTTGTTAACAACCATGGAATTAATTTACATCTTTGACAAGTTTTATAGTTTCCTAAAAAGATTTCAGCCTTTTGACTTGTCCAACCCTCCTCTTTTGTGCAACTTGGTGGTCCTTCCCCAAGCAGTTAAAAACAATTAAGTTCTGATTGCATATTTGGGTTGTTTTGATGTAAGAAGTCACCAAACAGAAATAAAATGACAAAAAAAAAGATAATCTTGTCAAAGGTAACCCATATTTGAGGCTTCTTCAGTCCTTGACCACTGGGAAAAATTAATAGCACGTTACACAACTTGGTAAACTCGCCCTGTCAGCATTCTTGATAGCTGAACTCCCTCCATGTAAATTGTTTGACAATGTTCTCTTTGGCAATTGGAAGAGGTTGAGTGAGATAATGCACAAAGGTCAAACAGAGATTATATGTATTCGTAACTGATATAAAGCGCATGTGAATACAAGTGTTTGTTTGCATAAAGCATGCTAGTTGGAATTAGGTGAGCATTGTCGTGAACCATTTGGATTTTAATTGGAATATCATATAGGTTATAGAATATAGACTATTCTTTAATTTGTGGATTTTCACAGTATGAAAATGGTTTCATTCAGTGTTATAACATAAAACAAAGAATTAGGTATGTGGGTTTGATTTTGTGCTTAAAAGGCTGCTTTCATTGCGTTTTCTTCTACCCTTCTGTGTTTCTTTGTTTAACTCATTTTCCTGTATGGCACAATCATTATTTTTGTCTTCTTGTCTTGGAAAAACAAAAAAATAATACTAATATATGATGGCGAATAATGGAGTGAGAAGTAGTCAAATACATTGTGGAAGTTCTATAGTTGAGTGTATGCTTCTTTGTGTAATTGTGATGAGGCAACCCTTTTGAAGTCTAGAGGAGGAATTCAACAAATTTATTGTTTAATGGAAAGTTATATATGATTATATTAGATATATGAGACTTGGTAAAAGATTGTAAATTCCAAAGCTTCTTTTGGTGTTTGTAAAAATCAGACCAATCTCAATTGCCATAATCATGCTTTGTCATTGTGCACTTATTAAAGCTTTCTACTCGATGTCTTGAATAGTTCAATTCAAACTCGTTTTATTTAAGGTAAAAAGCAACCAGTACTTTTGGTCGAAAAAGGAAAAAATATTAAAAGGTAAAATGTTGCTCTACATCTAAGACCGTTATATCATATAAATTAGTGAATGCTTATTAATGACAAAATTAAGTATGGAATCCAAAGTCTTTGCTTTATCTTATCAATAAAGTAATGTCCTCATTGACAAATAGAAAATCAATTAATACTAATCCAACAATAAGGTAAAACCAATTCTTAAATAAGAAGAGAACACCGAAAGTATTGTGCTTATTTTCTTAGTCTTTCTTCAATGCATCCGTGCAATCCTTCCATAATCATCTGAAGCAGACTGTACTAAACATGAGATAAGTTGAATGCTATCAAAGTGTGTCTAACATTCACTCATAACACAAAACAGAACAATAGTTAAAAATTCATTTCAAGAGAAGGGAGAAATACAAGGTTAAAAAAATGACCTTGACTAAGTCAAATTACCCTTAATTATTTTGACAATTCCTGGTTCTAAATAAAAGATAGTGAAGTATTAATTTAGTGAAAAAAGGTTCTTTCTTTCTTTATCTTCTTGTTTACTAGTAAGCGAGTTGGTGGGTCACAGTAGATCAATGCACGTTTTAAATTATTAATATAAAGTGGAAAGAGGAAAGTGTTAGTAGTTAGAACAGTCAAATTAATCCTTGACCATAGAAAGAATCAAATTGAAGGGAACCTTTCACATTAAAGACTCAAACTTGTCTTCTAAATTCAACAGTTGTGTGGAGACACAACCTTGAAAGTTGTGCTGCTATATATAAATATTACAACTTTAATTAAATATTAGATAAAAAAATTAATGAAAAATTAGACCAAGTTGGAACATTCCAAGTGGCGCGAATGGTAAGTGTGATTGGTGAAATGTTGACTTTTGCTTTCAAGTCAATAGAAAATGATTAATTCATGAAGGAAAAAGAAAATGAGTTCAAGGGCCGAAAAGTGTTTAGTGATGTGGACTGATTTGATATCCTACATTAAACTTATGCCGCAAGACAAAGCAACACTAATAAACTTGTGCGTGTCAAAGAAATGCTGCAAATGGAATACAGAAAAACTTGTTATTTAAGTTAAATTTAGTCCATATATTATGTGCTTGAAGCAAAGGCTTTCATCCTAGATAAGAATTGCTTTATCAGACGAAATTTCAATTCATGCATAGCCGCACTATTACATGCGCACATTTTTTTGGATTTCTTTTTGATAAATTTAAAGATATAAAATTTAATACCTATTTTTATGTTATTAATTCTAACATGACTAATACCTTTCATTTATAGCAAATGTGTGAGCTGAGTTTAATTTTAAAAATCTTTATTAGTTAGTGATATATAATCTTACTAGAAAATTTGTTGAAATTGATTGTTTGTGATATTGTAATAAATTGAACTTCTCTTCATCCTAAACGAAATGGATCCATATATTAAGCAAGCTGAAGGGTCTAGTTCAATAACAATTTAAGAGGCCTTATAATAAAAGATTTGAGGAGCGTAGATGCACATTTGGATTGACAACAACACAAAACTCATAAGCCTCCTCGAGAGCCAATGACTAGGGACTATAGACATAAGGATCCAACTAATTAAGCCTATATATCATAGCACACCAATAGGCATCCTTCAATGGGATAGGTTGACAAAGCCATCTCAATTCACCTATGAGAGTAAATTGCTGCCATACTAAGACAGCTCAAACAAGTCATGTTACTATTATATAAGAAAGATTCAAAACCCAAATATGATCATCTTCTCCAATATTACATAAACTCAACACCTCTCTCATCTGTCCCAGACAAGCAAAGCTCCTTAACATCAATGCAACCATCCCGTGGAATCATCTCACGTTACAACCCAATAGATCCCGTTGTAGTCTATCTTACAACATCACTTGGACCAGACTCAACCGTGAGTGGTTATACCTAATTATTCTTGGAGTGATCACTAAATTTTTTGAAGACATAAAAACCCACTATCTTAACCAATATTATAGAGATTTAGTAATCTAAGTGTGGGTGGTTCTGGAGGAGCTTTCTCAATAATATAAATTTTCTTAAGGCTTTAATGTTTCTCATGT